TGTCATGGAAGCCATGAACTCCTGCACCCCAATCAGAGTTTTCACCGAGCGACGGCAAATTGAAGTCCCCCAAGACCATAAGTCTAGGGAACTCAATTGCTAGCTCGGCTACCGACTTGAGCGAGGGGAGGGCTGCTGCAACGCTGTTGGGAGGCAGGTACGTTAACAGCAAACCCACTTGACCCTTGAGGTCCAACTTTACCAGCAGAGACTCACACCCGACAAGCTCCGGAGCAGGGAGTCAGTTTAGTATCCCTGACCCGCAAGGTTCCGGAGTTGAGGCAGGTCTCCGTGCTATTCATATCACAACTGTTGGGGAAGATGATCTCCTGCATCTCGGTCATTCCCTGGGCACGTCTTCTCTCCAGAGAGTTGCAGTGGCTTCTCCTGCCCCATCAAAGAGCCAACAGAAGAAAATCATCCATGAAGGTGCGGACTCCCCCGACCGTAAAGAGGTCTCTCAAGTGATGGCAATCGACGGCTCTACTGAAGGGACACCTGTTCAAGGAGCCACGAGAGTAGTCATCATGACAGATGCCACCTTGTCGATTGGGGGGCATACATGCAACATCGCGTAACTCAAGGCAAGTGGTCTCCAGCTGAAGCAGTCTGCAACATCAACTTCTTAGAGCTGCGAGCGGCCAAACTCGCCCTGCCACATTTTCACCGGGACATTCTTCATCAACATGTCCTCCTGATGACAGACGATGTGGCCACCAAGGCCCATATAAATTGCCAGGGCGGCACCAGGAAGCTCATGGCGGAGGCGGAGGCCCTAGGCAGGTGGGCGGAGCGTCACATTGCATCCATTCACTCTGACCACATTTCAGGAGTGGACAACATGCAGGTGGACTGGTTGAGCAGGACCACCCTAGACAGTGCAGAGTGGCATCTGGATCTGACCCTATTCAACCAGTTGTCTCACAGATTCGGCACCCCAATGATCGATCTGTTCGCCACCTGAGAGAACATGCAGCTCCAGCGCTTCTCCCCCTACTTCCACTCACCAGGGGTGGAGGGGACGGATGCCCTTCGATGCAGATGGTCTCAGGGTTTTCTGTACACCTTCCCACCGCTTCCGCTTCTACCACAGGTAATCTTCAAGATCATCGCGGAAAGGGCGGAGGTCCTGCTCATAGCTCCCCATTGGCCCCGCAGGTCATGGTACGCTGATCTCGTCAGCCTGTCAGTGTCATCCCCATGGCGGATTCCTCGGAACCAGGTCTCCCTCAACCAGGGGGCCATAGTACACTCGGACTCCCAATGGCTCCAGCTGGCCATCTTGCACTTGAGGGGGATCTCCTGAGGAGCGAGGGCCTGTGGGAGGAGGTTGTACATACCATCCAGGCATCCAGACGACCATCAACAACCAGGATATATGATTCCACCTGGTCCACTTTCGCCAAGTGGTGTGACAACTACTATCTCGATCCAGTCACTGTACCTGTTTCCCGCGTTCTGGACTTTCTACAAGAGGACCTAGACAAAGGTGTCGCCCCCAATACCCTTTGTCGTCAGGTGGCGGCACTTTCCACCGTCTGATCCGGCGACCTGGCCCAGCCCCTCAGCAAGATCCTGAGGGTTCGTTGTTTCCTTAAGGGTGCCTCCAACTTACGCTCTCTGGTGATTCACCGCTATCCCACCTGGTAGGTATCAGTGGTCTTACAGGCGCTTACCTCTCCACCATTTGAACCTCTACGTATGACATCTCTTCGTCACCTCACCTTAAAGACTGCCTTTCTTATTGCAATACCATCCGCGAGATGCATCTCGGAACTGGCGGCCTTATCGGTCCGGGAGGATCTATGTGTCGTCCACCTGGACAGGGTCATTCTGCGTCTGGACCCTGCCTTCATCCCGAAGGTCAACACCTGGTTCCACAGGATGCAGGAAGTAATCCTGCCTAACTTCTGCCCGCACCCCAATCACCAGAGGGATCGTGGTTGGCACAAGTTGGATGCCAGACGAGCCCTGCGTATATACATCAGATGCTCTGCGGACTTCTGCAGGTCAGAGGCCCTCTTTGTTTCATTCCAGCCTGGCTCCTTGGGTAAGAAAGTGACATCTTCCACGATCGATAGGTGACTCAGAGCATGCATTGCAGCTGCATATGAACACCAGTCCAGGGCGGTACCCTGACGCATTACCGCCCACTCCACTAGGAGCTCTGCAACCACCACAGCCTGGGCCACCCAGGCTACCATTGAAGACATCTGCAGAGCGACTACTTGGTCCTCACCATCGCCCTTTGTCAGAAACGATAAATTGGACATGTATGCCTCGGCCGAGGCATCTTTTGGCAGGCGGGTTCTACAGGTGATTGTTTTCACGACTGAATGCCGAGACTGTTCTTCTGCCCACCCTAGTGACATATAACTTGGCTATGTCCCGTTGCTTGGACTCTCCAAGCGGTGCACAGGAAAATGACCATTGGGCTTACCTGAAGGGTCCTTTTCTGTGCACTGCGGGAGAGTCCAACCCACCCTGGTTCGCTCAGTCCAGGGATTCGTGACCATCATGTGAAATTGGACTTTCTCTACCTGATTCATCACGCTTCCAGCCTTCACAGTTCCAGACCATCTCAAAATTCTGGTGCTAAGGAACACAAGGAGGCGTGGCCAAGGAAAAAGATTCCTCAGTCCAAGGGCAACCAGACTGATTTAACCCATTGCTTGGACTCTCCCGCAGTACACAGAAAAAGACTCTTCAGGTAAGCCCAATGGTCATTTTCATTGTACATGCAAAGCAATAGATGATGATTCTTCTTCTTCTTCTCCTCCTCCTCCTCCTCCTCCTCCTCCTCCTCCTCCTCCTCCTCCTTCTCCTCCTTCTCCTTCTCCTTCTCCTCTTCCTTCCTCTTCCTCCCCTCAACCCTCCCCCTCTCCTCCTTCTTCTCCCCCTCCCCTCCTCCTCTTCTTTCCCAATAGGGGAGGGATAAAGAAGATAATAAGAAGGATAAATGATAATAATACAGCCATACTAGATTGTTATATATACTATACATCAGTGGCCCCCAACCTTTTAGGCACTAGGGGCTGGTTTTGTGGAGAGAGGTTCTTCTGCAGACTGGAAGGAGTGTGGTTTCCCATGCTGCTTGCAACCCGTTAATGGCAGCTTCACTGATTTGTGGCATGCCATGGACTGGTGCCGGTCCACGAACTGGTGCCGGTCTATGGACCAGGGGTTGGGGACCTCTGCTGTACATATATGTTAGACAGCACTGTGAAATTTAGGTGTTTAGCAGATCACCTAATTTAAATAACTTTTAAATTTGTATTCAGAATGCTTTACTTACAAATTCTATAAGGATAAAGCAGTTGTAATAGTTTTCTAAGGGTTATCCTGGAAAGAAGTAAATATAGAGATGCACGTGGGTAATTTTGATTTTCCCCATTTATTTCAGTGTGTGAGATACATGTACACACAGACTGTGCCCCCTTTGCTTGCAGTGATTGCCGTGAGTGCCATCAAGATGGTCATCAAAATCATGTGAGTGTATTTTTAGCTGGTAACACTTTTATCAAAACATTAAATGTTTTGTTAGAAGGAAAACTAAAACAAGAACAAAAATAAAACAGAAAAAATGAAAAATTGCCTTTGACTGTATATGCCTCTATGTGTCTGTGTGTATATGAGTGACTTTTACATACTGTACCTGTACATTTACATAAATATTAAACACTGTTGTAAAATATCATTAATATAGTTAATTAATGGTGATGGGTTTCAATTAATTTCCGAATTTCTTTGTTGGTGGATTACTTTTCAGTTAAATAAATTCCCCACACCTTTAAATATTGCTGATCAAATGAAATATATATCCTAGCTTTTCAGTGGTTTTCAGTAATAATTTGGTAGATAATGACAACAATTAATTTGAATCCAGAGTCATGCAAATGTGATGGGCTCTATACAAATTTAGATAGAGCACATTTGGGACAATACTTTATTATGTGTATATGGTGTGTGTGTGTGTGTGTGTGTGTGTGTGTGTGTGTGTGTGTGTGTGTGTTACACCATTCCTGAACTGAAAAAAGTAATGT